TGTCATTCCACTCTGCCATATCTATTTGCCATATGTTTGCTATACTCTTTCCACATCAAGTTGTGTGCCCTAGTCTGTGTATCCGTGTGTCTTATTTTGCCTCTTGTGCTTTGTGTTCAATTTTGCTTCCCCTGTCTCATCAGTCACATTTATGTTAGCTGTGTTTTCACCTGTGGTCTGTTCCCTAATTAACCCTTATGTGTTTATATTATCTGCATCTCCCTCATCCCTCCGTTCTGTGGATTCTGCCTGCCTAGTGTCTTCTCAGTTTTAGTTTTGTTATCTGTGAATTTGCAATAAAGCTGCTTTAAGTTTAGTTTTGCCTGTGAGTCCTGTACTTTTGGGTCCAATCGTGCCTGCCTCACACAGCAACAAACAAAAAATATAAACAGAAAAATAAACAAAAAAGACAAAACTTTACAAGGAATAACTTATGTAAAAGAAATACAATTAATAATTTTCATAACTGATCTGGCTTTGATATTTAAATTATACAGAAACTACATATTCAGAATATCTGTGATACTGTACAGTTATCAGCTTCCTATGAGGAGGAGCCAATGCAAAATTTAAAAACTCATCAGGTCTACTTAACTGACTGCAGGGAGAACAGAAGCAATCAAGCAATTCAACATGATGGACTACAGGACAGGACTGCTTCTCTTTACTCTCTACTGGGCAGGTGAAGATTCTCTTTTCAACTTCAATATGCATAAATAATGTTTTTGTGACACAAATTAATTCACATAATTTTTGAAAACCAGGTGTCAATGGTCAGACTCTGACAGAATCTGAACCAGTTACTAAAAGGCCTGGAGAGTCCCACAGATTGACCTGCACAGTCTCTGGATTCACACTCGGCAGCTACTACATGGCCTGGGTTAGACAGGCTCCTGGAAGAGCACTGGAGTGGATTGCTTATATAGGCACTTCTAGTTCTCCTATCAGATACTCCCAGTCAGTCCAGGGTAGATTCATCATTTCCAGAGATGACTCCAGCAGTAAAATCTATCTACAGATGAACAGCTTGAAAATTGAGGACACAGCAGTTTATTACTGTGCCCGACGAAGCACAGTGCGAGACAGCAATAGAAATGCCATACAAAAACTACTTCCTCTATTTACTTTCACCACTGGGAACATTTAACGATTTCAGTGTCACTATCCTGCATTTCAGCTTCTTTGAGTAGTGCAGCAGATTACTGCAATTTTAACCAATGTTTAACATTTCAATACAGGTAGATTTTTCTACCTTTGTTTTTTCTCATTTAAAGATAGCAGTTCGTCTTGTTTATTTCTAGCCTGTGATGTGGGGATGAGGAGGAGATGGGTTGCATGAATGAGAGTCTAAAAGGGAGAATGGTGAGAGCACTGAGATTTAAACCACATTAAGCAGAGGCTGATTTGCTCAAAGAAGGAAGACAAGAAGATGATTGGACTAGAAAAATGACAGCTTTGAGATTGACAGCATTTTAAAATAAACTAATTTTCTTCATAAAGGACCTAACCTCCAACAGCTTCACCTGAATAGAAGCTATTTAAAAAGACCAATTGTCACTGTAGTGGCAGACTATGTGTTTTTATGAGGACCCAAATGCATACCACAAGAGTTTCTCATTTGTTAGAAACAGTTTCAAAACCCTAATAAAGTTGTTAAAAAGGACAAAATGACAAAAGGAGTTAAAAGCAGGGCAGTCATGCTGGTTAATAGCATCAATAGCTTAAGATGAATATGACTAGTATTATTTTCACTCTTTAATATAATAATCAGATATGATTATCTGATGAAGTCAGAAGAAAGAGCAAGAGAGATCAGGTTAGTTCAGCTTTAATCATTTTCTCTGTAGGTGTTATGCTGGACAGTTGGATATTGTAAAGACCTTTAAGTGGATTTATTTTAGTAACGTGTGTGTTTCTGAATAAAC